AATTCCCCAGCCAGCCATGCTGGCTGGGGAATTCTGGGAGTTGAAGTCCACACATCTCCAAACTGACAAGGTTGAGGAACACTGCTCTAGAGGACTGCCAAACTAAGACAGCAGAGAATCAGCCTCACTAGTGTCTTCCAATGTTTCAGTTTTGTCATTTTCTTAAATAGTATTTCCCCATATTCTTTAATATATACATGAATCTCCCATATGGACAAATTGATACTTGCCAATGGTTGTAATCACTGTAGCAGCAAAGATGACAGCATTGGGCCAGTTCCAGTAATTAAATGTGTCATTAGCATCAATTGAAACCCCTTGCCCAGCAGCTTCTGAGACCACCTATAAAAAAATGATACAAGTCACTCAAAACACAGCAAAATATGATGTTATTAAAAAAAGAAAAAGAAAATGTGCTTTCTCAATCCTTCATATGTTTGTTGTCTAATGAAAAATATGGCCATGGTAACTAGTTTTAAATTGCAAAAGAAAATGCATTTGCTACCAGCACAAAAACACAATGTTTAATAATTGTGGATTTTGGAAACTGGATAGAAAAGCAATATTCCATCGTAAATCATTTAATTCTGAACTCACTTGGAAAAATGTAATACAATTCCTATATGCAGAAACTAGTAACCTAAATTTGAAGGGCGTCTGACTGCTGTTATTGTTGTTTAAAAACAACCAATATCACCACCACCTCCAGGCCAGAGCATGAGCATGGCAAATGGAGACTTCTGGCAAAGTTGCTAAAAAAAATAATAATAAAAACAATAAAAGCACAGTGGAGTGCCTGTATACTCGATCTGCTTGGATAAGCTCACATAAAATTGGACTTTTCCAAGTTATTTTTCTTTGCTTCATTTCCTAAATGAATTTTATACTGTCAGCTCAAATTTCAAAGATCAAACTGTCTCTTGATATTTGAGAAAGGACAAATTATACTTTGTTACTCATTACTGAAATGTGATTATTAAAAGCAAACTAAGTTCCGTGATTGTTAAAGCATTCAGTGTTTCAAGCATTTATCCAGTAACGTTATTTCAGAAATTCAACTACTGCTCTGCACAGTCATTACTCTGAGACAACTTACACCATTTCTTATTGTCTTATTTATTTTAAATGCACAGCCACCATTTCTCCAGGAGCTCCAGGCCCATGGGGATCAACCTTATTTTGTTCCCACTATAGTAACTCGGTGGGGTAGGATATGCCACTGGCCTGGAATCATCCAATGAGTTTCCATGGCTGAGGGTGGATTTGAAACTAGTCTTCCTGGTTGTACTCCAACAGTTATCCATTACATCATTGTGCTAGTTCTCTGAGGGAGGTGTGTATGTGTATATATTTCCAGCAGAGAGAAAAGCAGTGTAGTCTAGTGGTTGAAGCATTTGATTGGGCCTGGGAAGACTCCATTTTAGGTCTTATTCAGCCACATCGTTTACTGGATGACTGGGCCAGACACTATCTCAGCACCAGCTACTTCACAAGATTTTTGTTATGGTGATAAAATAAGGTTAGACTTCCACACATACCACCTTAGGCTTCAGAAAATGGTGGGACAGTAATGCCACAAAATAAACACATCATAAAGCCAGTGAAAAGGAATGAAACAGACTTGCATAATTTCTTTAACCTTTGCTTTAGGTAAAGATTTAATGGAGGCTGAAACCGAAAAGGGTGATTTGAATGAAACATGCAAATATGACTTGCAAAACAAGCCACATCATTCGCTCCACAGTAGAGCATATATGGAAACTTCAGGCAATTCCTGTAACATACCAACTCTTATACTTCCCGCATATGTTAAGCCCTACCTTCACTCTCTATTCAGCGATGAACAGGTAACACTGATTATAATGCCAAAGCCTTCATGCAGAAACATCTGATAATTATAATCTGCCTCATAGTTCAGGGTCAGATAACACATTGAGCACAAAGGATGGCTTTGTAATAAGACAGAGAAGATTAAGCGGAAGATAAGAATAAAGTTAATATCAGAACAAAATGCAAGCCCAGCCAAGAGACTATTTCTATAGTCAGGTCAGGCACAAGTGACATTGTTGAGTTGCTATGTCCTCCACTGCAAATAGAGTGGCCAATGGACAGGGATGGTGGAGCTGTGGGCCAGTATCAACTGAAAGGGTCTCCACTCCCCACCCCCTTACCCCATTCCTGATTCAGAAGGGATAGCTAAATACATTAATAGGCAAATCGATGATGTCATGGCTTTGGTGACTTTTCATCATGCACTTTTTAAACAACTATAGCAGATATAAGGATTCAGTTTGGCATGATCTATGCCACCCGGAATCATATGAAGAATTGCTTTGCATTAGCCACCTTGCTGTGCACAACAGTATCCACCCAATTATATTGACTCCTCATACTACTATACTGCATGTGTGAATGGCAAGAGCTACTTTGCTAAGTTCCCGCTGTATCTATAGTTACAATGCCACAAATGGTATTAATTAAAAGGTGAGGAAAATAAAAACAGCATGTGAACTTAAGACTGACACTAGTACCCCCACAGCAAGCTATATTTATTATTATAAAAGCCAAACCACCTCAATATATAAATACCTTGTGCAAGATGTTTAGACATCACTTTGGCCATTTCAGCTTTTAACACACCAGGACTAGCAGAGTCAGTGCAGACAGATGTGAAAAAGAATTATTTTCTGACAAGCACACGGCTGTACCTCTGCTTTGTTTCTATTTTACTGCTAGCCATTAAATTAGAAAAACTGTATTAAGCAGAAGTAAATTTCACTGGGCTTTATTTGATTTATGTCAGTTTTAACCGTTAACAAAGTTTCCACCCAAACGGGTTCGCTCTGATTTCTTATCCACGAAATAGCTGAAACAATCTTTAAGTGTTTGTGTTGCAGGGTAAGAGGTGGAAAGCATAAATCAGCAGATGGAAAGGAAGAGCCTATCATTTCAGTTCACATCCTGAGAAAGCTACAGGGCCAACTCTCTTCATTGCTGTGTCAACATTTCACAAGTTTACACTCACAGCTGTTCCTCTGCCAAAGATGCACCTCCCTCTGGTCCCCATTGGCACACTTTGACTTAGGATGAGCTGTGGCCTTGCTTGACACTGCTTTCATTATATTTCCCACATATTTTAGCTATAGTACATCTTAATGTGAGATTGAAGCAACAAAAATAATTTCATAATGCACAGAATACCCATAACAATTCAGGATACTTCTGACAATTTGTAGCCTGGAACAGAACAAGCATTGTCCTATTGTTGCTTTTAAAAGAGAATCTAGTTATCATTATGATATCTAGATTTTTTTTTCTAAAGTTCTTTCAGGTTTTATAATCTGGAAACTTCAAAAAAAAATCAAAAGTGTACATTTATGGCAATTATAGAAAGCTATAGGAGAGATGTAATATTCTTCTTGGCTGAAAGTATTTCCCTCATAGATTTTTCTTGCAAACTTCATGCTTTGACTAAGCCATTGCTATTTGTAGGAGATCCCCTCCTGAAAAACCATGCTTTTTAAAATATTATATTTAAACTTCTTCAGATTCTTAGAAATTCAGTACACTGGCTATATTTTGCCATTTTCAGTCTGATCAGGAGACAGCCGAAGAAGCTGTTCTATAGATTTGTAAAGTAATTCTGTATTATGGGAAGCAGTAGCAAAACCACAATGATTTCCAGTATACAGCTATGAGTATCTGTCCAATGCATGTTTAAAGCCACATGGCAATCCATTCGCATGACTAAATCACAGAGCCCTTATAATTTGAGTTTCATGCTTTATAATTCTTGTTATCCACCCTAAACCTTTAAGGAAATACAAGTTAAGTTTAAATAAATTCTAGTCAAAGGAATACAGTCCAACGGGATTCTTTTTTGAAAGTAAATCTTTTAGCCATGCTATCTGCTGCACAGAATGCCTTAGGATACATATACAATCTTGAGACAGACTTGGCATATATAATCTTATCACTCTGAGGTTAAAATTAAAAAAAAAACACAGGATAGAAAAAAGGCATTACATAATGCAGAAGCACGTAGCGGAGTTGAGTTGAAAAAGTTCTGCACTGTGTTGAAGGAGCATAAAATAATTTAGTATTCATATAAGCAAGCACTGTATGGAAATACTTATTTTAGGTCTGTGAACTCTCACTGTACAAATTACTGAAAGAATAAATCACAGGCAGTATTTTGGGAAGTGGCAGGGAGAGCTAACACCCTGAATTCTGGAAACATTGGCTAGTCTTCCGAACAGTTTTTAAGGTTTCAACAAAACAATAAAGTAAATCCTCAATTTAACAGACTAACGGAAAAAGGGCTGTCCCCTGGAGCTGACTGTTAAATGGCAAATTGGATTTTGAATGCATAAAATGTATGTAAAATGCTTGAACATTATCTGCACTGATATGCCAAAATGACAACCTTGATTGTTGCTTTAGACAAGTCTGTTACTGACTAAAATTTAAATGTTGTTTGTTATATCCAAAGTTCTTCTGAAAAGGTTCATGAAAACAAGGGTTTACTGTAAATATCTTCTAACTTCTCATGGCTATAAACTTCCTTGAAAGATATGTGGTACATCCCTTAACACTTGGAACATTTATGTGACTAGCTGCCAAAGTGGAGGCACCAAGCTTAGCCAAAATTTTCTCATGAAAGGCTGCTGTTTTTTTAAACAGTTGTTACTAGGGCACTATTATCTAAAGTTATATTGGTGCAGTCAAAATTCTAATCAGCTCAGTTAAAGCAGAATATTACAATGGACATATAAAACTTGTTACATTATAGCTCCAACAGGTTTCACGAGATTATGTTAATAGCTTTACCCCTTGGCATAAGGAAGTTTACATGCCAATACAAGTAGGATCAACAGCACAAGCAGCAATAACATGAGTTTCTTAGTGCCAAGAAAAAGCTATACTGAAGGCATAAAATAAGTGTTTGACTCCAGAATTCCATATAGGATTGCCTGAATATTTACCAGTTAATACTTTTAGGGCAGTTACGTTTTGTGATATTTAAAGTACTGCTCAAACCTTCCTCTCCTCCTCTCCCCAATGTTTTCTCAGAATTTAACTCAGGAGGCCCCAGTCCCTTGTGACTGGTGGGTACATCTGCAATTTATAGACTCACAACATTATTGACATAGGGGACAGCTGCCAATTCACCACAGGGCTGTCATGGCGGATATGCCAGTTACAAACCATCAGTTTCCTGGATGGCAAGCTAGTGAATTTGTTCCCCAATGTACTCTCTAGTCCTCAAGATGTCTTTTTCCCTGGCAGGAAGGCCCACTTCCCAAGAAAGCACTGAGGTGTAACAACCTACTTTTATATTC